AGCACTGGCAGGGCTCCCGGGGTTGCTAGAGTTTTTGGAGCTGGTGCTCTCCTCATCGGAGCCTAGGACTATATTTATTAGGAATAAAGTGACTGAAATGAGTATATAGTACTCACTCTCTGCACCGGTTCTGGCCCGATACACGTTTTGGCCCCGCGCCAGAGCGTCTTTTGGCGGGTATGAGCATCTCAAACTGTGCATAGAGAGGAAAGCCAGCATTGTGGAAGGGTTTGGACTTCGGCTTTCGCACAAGCCACGCGTCCCAGACGGCTGCCTTGTCGGGGGTGATGTTCGCGCTACGGTCTTTGTCCCAGGCGCCAAATCCTGAGTTGCTCTCAATCTTGCAGACCTCATTCCACAAGCCCTTCTGCTGTAGAATGTTTCAGTAAGAGTGCAGAGACATATGTGGCATACACATCTTGGAGTACTGATTCTTGACAGACAGCCCATCCCTTCAATGGTGGATTGAGTGCCATTGTGACTTCATGAGCTGTCGTCTTTGTCATGCCGCCGCCGTCTCCGAGCTGTCCCTTGCGCAAAACCACTTCATCCAGCATCTTGACAAGGTCCTCCAGCGTGTAGACACATGTCTCTCGCAGGCCCTGTCCTTTGGTGGCTTTTTCGTCGGCCTTCTTCTTCTTGCGCGCCTTCGGCTTCTTGTTATTTCCCATGTCGAAGCGGCGAAAAGAGGTGTGTGTGACTACGTGACATAATGTGACTACTTCGCTGAGAATCTGCCCAACAGAATCTGGATTCTCCTCAGAATCACGCCAGATTCTGGTTCCTGAACGGAGCCTAAGCGATAGGGCCCTACAATGGCCCTATGGTAGGGCCCTAGCCCAAGGTCCTCGACCTGTAGGGCCCTAATAGGGCCTTACAATGTCATGTGTCACAGATCATTCTGTGGATTCCCACCGCTCTCTCTCTGGCCAATTCACTCGCTATGGAGACAGAGTCAACAGCCAGCACTGGCGCACCCATTGCAATGGCTGTATTGTCCACTGGAAGAGGGAAAACCTGCCCCACCATGTCCAAGTCAGGAGGATATTGAGGTTCAGGCAGCAATGGATGCGGCTGAGCCAGTAGCAGAGGTGGCGGAGGACGCGATTCCAGACGATAGTGGCATAGAAATTCCCTCAGACGAGGAGTACATAGAGTAAATTGTGGTTGTGCAAAATTTCCTTTTTTGGCACTTAGGGCCCTATGGCCAAGGCCCTATATAGGCCAATAGGCCCAAATAGGGCCCTAGCCTCTGAAATTTCGGAAATAGGGGCTCTACCTGCATCACTGAGTCATCAGCTTCAGATGCGCTGCCTGTGCAATGTTTGTGTCCTTGAATGAGAGTTCCAGCTCCGTGATGAGATCGTCAAATGTATAGGTGGCCGCAAGCACACCATTCTTAAGGGTTCGCTTTTTCCAATTGTGCACCCAGTCAGCTGCCGTACATGCGGAAGCATCCGCGGATCGAAGGTACGAGACCAAAACCAAATTCATTTATGATCTGTGTCGAGCGCATCAGAGTATGCCGCAAAGTCCATTGTCAGGGGTCCAAGAGACCTGTTGCGTGAGAGGAATCCACCGGGGCCTTCTACGACACACCCCGCGCTGGACGAACTAGGGTTCTCCGAAGATTGCCCCTGCGCTCCTTGTAGCAGCTATGACTCTACAAAAGCACCTGGGTTGAGCCAGACGTCTCTCTTGCAAGTACGAAGCACATGTCCTCTCGAGTGGGTCCCTTGGATTGGCGTCTCCGAGTGTACCTAGCCAAGAAGAAAAACCTAGAGCAAAAGACCTAGAGTATCGACCTAGAGCAGAAGGGGAGAGGGCGTAGGAAAGAGGCATAGGAAATTTGGCGATAGTTTCGGGGTAGGAGAGTGGTTTGGGTAGGTGGTAGGAGGTAGGAAGGTACAAGGGTAAGAGGGTAGTCTTCGAATTATGTCACAAACAACACCAATTCAGAGGATGCCAGTTGGCCAGTGAAGGCAAGCAAGAAGCACCGTGAAAGGATATCGTAAAGATGATGGAATTCGAAGACTGGGGTACAAGACGAAATCTACTCTACTTATATACACTACTACCATGTGTTTACCATGCCTAATATGAGAGGCAATGACATCATACTTTAGCCATACCTTTATGTGCTGTTTGCCTCATGTCCAACTCCACACTGTCAATCAACATCAGCATCCACATCTGATGATCCAATCACCATCTTATCATCCATCTTATCTCCTCCTTGTCTTATCTTATCAACCAGGGCCAAAATAAAAGGTGTAAAGGGCGAAGAAAAAGAGTTTGTGAACCCAGGGTTTGACAGAGTTAGTCCAAATACACCTGCTGACATGGGAAAATGTGATGCAGCATGAGTAATGCAGTGGTCATCAGAGATCAGCGCATTTGTGATTTAGTCACACCTGGTTAGCATAAGCAAAACTGATAAATGAGTTTGTGAATCAACTGACAAAATTTCCATTTTCGGAATTTTGTCACTGACCAAGGTAATACTATCTAACCTTCTCAAACAGTATACTTTAAGGTTTTTGCTCATATGTAACCAAGATGGAAAGTGTGACTATCACCACCATATATATCATACTTGCTAATTTAGGAAATTAGCTTGGAGTAGTTGATTATTGCAGCATTAGCAGCATAGAAGGGTTTGTGCCAGGAACTGTAAGGGCAACCTCGCGAGGCTCGAAATCAGAGTCCTGAGCAGAGGGGGAATCCTTAGTGAACTACTACAACAGGAAGGGACACTACAGACTCACCTGAGCAGAGGGGGAATCCTTAGAGAACAAGCCAAGGAGCCCTCTGCCCAGGTGCACTACTATATACTAGTGACCGGAGTAATGATAGAGTGACTGCGTAGCGACGGATGACGGGTTAGAGAAGTCAGGTGTCGCTAATGGACCCTAGGTGAGTGTCGAGTAGCCCTCAAAGCTCCGGAGAGGCAGGTTTGGGACTGTGATGCCAAGGGAGGGGCCCAGGCATCCCTAGAAGGCCCAAGAAGGGCTTTAGGAGGTCCAGGCTGCCTCTGGGCGTCTCCGCTTGTGACCGTGACGTGACAACCGGAATCGGAATCGGAATCGACTCCGGGTGTGTGACCGTGACGTGACGGCCGGAAACGGAGAGGGAAGGCGTGGAGCGGAAAGGGAAGGAGTCTGGTCTAGCCCAAGGGCCGGGGAGTGTCGAAGAGGACCAATGGGAATGGCGGCCAGCCATGACCACTGGAGGGTAGCAACAGGGGGTCACTCGGAGACGTCCCCGGACGTCTCCAGAGAGGTGGAGGTGTGAGGGCGTGCAGCCTGGGGTGCTGCAGTGGGCACGAGCCTTAACAGCAGTAGGCCTCACCCAGGGGAAGACCTGATGACAGGGGCCGTGGTGGCGGAGTGGAGAGCGGAGCCATGGCAAAGCTCAGCCATCCGAACGTAAGCCCGAATGCTGACATAGGTTGGGGACACCCAAGAGGTCCAGCGGATAGAGATCGTAGGGAGACCTTGATAAGTAACAGCCCAGGGAGGCTAGAAGGCCATAGGCTCAAGGTCTCAGAGGGAAGTGGTGTGTCCACATCCAGAGAGGTCTCCGATGGTGTTAGTGATCCCTGATGGTGATTCCGGAGGGACTTCCGGAGGGGAGTGGCCAGGGAAGTCGAAGACTCGGGAGCACTGGGTGTGGGATGTGGCGCAGGCAGTGGAGGGAGAGCGTCAGGGTGCGGAGACGCGGCGCTTGATGGGATCAAGTGACGGCATCAGGGTTTCCCCTGACAGGAACATGAGAGAACTGAGAGATGTCACAGAATTATTAGGTTTTTATTGCAGCATAGAGGATTTAGGGTCATTAGTCTTATATTAAGCAGATGCCATGTGAATGTATGCACATGTTTGGTATTAGCTTTAACAATTAATTTACTTCACCCTTCCATTTTTGGGGTCACTGCTGTTAAAGTCCTAAACTGGTAAGAAAGCTGTAAAATGTGACCAATACTGAGTGGGATGCAAAGCTGTAAGTGATATCTTACACCCAGGACTGTGAACAAGTTGTATCAAAGGTTATTTAAAAGTAAATATTCTCAAATTCCCCACAAATTGAGAAGTAAGTACACAAAGTTTAGCACTCAACATACTCTAGCAACAGATATTTAAGAAAGCAATCGGGCATCTGTGTGCTGTCAGGGAACCCCCCTTTCGGCCCCTCGGAGACGATTCCGGTCTGATTCCAATAGTGTCCATCACGGACAAATCACGGATCCATCAACACTGTCCCAACGGTCGCCCTAGGACCTTGCCTGCGATGCCGCCCAGGCCTTCTGTGCCCGACAGCAGCAGCTACAGATGAGCAGTATATAGTCAGCTACCCAGCAGGCAGACCCTTGGAGTTTCTTCTCTTTGGATCCTCCCCTGCTAGGACCCTGATTTCAGGCCTCCGGGGTTGCCCTTACATGTGCCATTCTATAGTTAGTGACAATGTTCTTAATTAAGAAAATCATGTTATTCGAGCAACATTCAAGTTCAAAGCTGGGTCACTGTCTAGTCCCTTTATATCAGAATGTGCAGCCCACTGGGCCATGCCTTCTACTAGTACCATCACATTTCAATCAAGTATCTGGCACTTTGTCACAATTTGGGACCAAAAAATTCTATTTTGATTTATGGTCATTTTTCACAAGGACTTTTTTGGTCAATGTAACGTGTAACACGGACAGTTGACCTAAATAGGACAGTATGGATCAGTGGAATTGGTGGGTGAACTGCTTATGTTCAATTATTCCCAATACTATTCATAATTGTTGGTAAAAATCAATCCTCAGTGTCATGTAACAGTTGGGATGTGTATACTTATTGCACCAGCTGTCTCTAGTCATTGACAATCACTGAGCAACAATCTAACATAGTATCAAACCTATACATGCAGCATTTACGAACAATACTTCTTTTCTGTAGGAGTGGTAACTTGAATAAGGTAGCGCCCTGAATTACAGTTGTGCTGGGTGAAATAAGTATTCACTTTCCTTCTTCTTTCCCTTCTGCAGCAAGTTTTTGGATGATTGCGGAAACTTCGTTCCAGCGAGCGGCGTATATATTTGAAGCCTCGGTTAGCCCTGCTTCAGACTCGATAGAACGGTCTGTTGGGTCCCAATCCGACTCCAGCGCGATTGAGAGATGGGGGAAGAGGTGGGCAAGAAAATGTGCAACTTCAATGGGATTCTTGATTGGCGTGAAGCCGGTGTTCAGGCTTAGGACGGCAAGCGGGGTCTTGATTAGGGTTTTGCCGGAATCATCGATCGCAATAGTTGTCGGCACCACCGTTGCATCGAAAGATACATCAATGGCGGCAAGGCACGGGCAATGTGTGGCCAGCGCCACCAGAAACGACAGGGTGAGGCGCGTGCGCTGAGCCGGCTCTGTCGGATGAAGCACGAAGGTTTCCAGTGCAGGCCAGGCGCACGCAAGAGCCTCGATATCACTGTCACGAACAAGATATTTCCCGCTGCACTCGATGTACAGGCGGGTCAAGCCAGAGAATCCTTGCAACGATCGCAAAGCGTCCGCGGAAATATCTACGTGACTCAAACTTGAAGATCGGAGCTCGTATTGGAACTGCTGGAGGGTCTGCTTGTTTACATAGGCATCCACACTTCGGTAAAATGCGGTCATGTCCGCGGTGGTGAGATCTGTGTGGAGCAGAGGAGAAATCCAAAGTGTGTGGAGAGGGGAGAGTCGGAATAGATGCATGATTTGTGTCAGCCGCAGGACATCGACATTCTCAATAGCAAGGATTTCGAGAGAAGGGAATGTGCACTGATTGTCGAGGGCCTGCAGGGTTTTGCTCGGACGGGCCGCCAGGTCCAGCTCTCCAATAGTCAATTCTTTCAAGCTTTTTAGCTGAGCCACATGAGGCAGCATATTATCGGCCATGTAAGACATCGTCAGCACTTGGAGATGACACAAGTTTCGGAAGAGATCAGATGCCACATGCAGGGAGTCGGATGTAATAAGGACGAGCGTAGTGAGCTGCGGGGTATGACTGACGATCATTTGAATGAGGGGAGTGACATCGATATCAGGGTAAACTTCCGGGTCAAAGGTTTCCTCTACGGTGACAAATCTCAGCGTCGGCGACAGGAGCGATTGGAAAAGAGATCTGAGCCATCGATCTGGGTTGTCAGATCCGGGGACAGAAATGACTAGTTTTCGGAGTCGCGGGAAAAGAACGGCATCAGGAGACGTTCCCCCAAGGATGGACAGTTCTGCGCAGTGGGGCTCGTGATACGACGCCCAAGGGGGGTTCAAAGTTCGAATCACGGATATAGGGTCGGAAAGTTTTTTTCCGACCCCCCCGGGACCCCCCCCTCCCCCCTCCTGCCATATATAGTAATATATTCTCACGATCAGCATCATGTGACCACTGATGCAATCAAAAAGTGGGATAAAAAATTCAATCTTTGTGAAACTTTTTTTGCAAAAAATTTATACATGTGTCTGTGTATATGTGTAGGTATGTATGTACCTAGAGCCTTCAAACACACACATGGCATGCCATATCAACACTCCAACATGTTCACCTCTCATCAATTGCCTGATGATGGGCCTCTGACAGAGTGGGCTATCCAAGCGTATAGGCTTGAAAGTATATAGATATAAGTAATGAGAGTGCTAAACTATAGAAATTAGAAGGTATACACTATATATTCAGTGTCTTTATACCCATATAAGGCCCAAATCTTTTATATACAAAAAGTTTTTTTTACCCCCCGGGGACCCCCCCCTCCCCCCTACCCCATGTGCCTGATAAGGATCTTGAACCCCCCTTGACGACGCCGAGATCCTGCGAACGAGATTGCAATAGCGTCGTGGCCGCGCCCAATCACTGGGCGGAACAGTGAGGGTGAGAGGCTGCCAATGGCATGGCTGCTAAGGAGCGTCAGCATAAGAAGAGACCTCACAAAGAGCCATTCTTACATCAGCCGAGTATGCGAAGAGACCAGGAGGGAAGCAATTGAGAATGTAGTGCAGTGTGTAAGGGCCAGGGTCGGCCCAGAGGAGTTCCAACGCCGGCTGTTCGAAGACGCGACACGTTCGAGCCAACGCCGCCAACGTCGTGTTTGGCGAGTGCTGCAGCGCCACTTCTGCAAACACTTGAAGGATGATTTCGGGAATCTGGAGGCATCGATGGAGCGTTTGCGGCGGCGCACTCCCGACGCCTACCGAGACCTGAAACAGCCATCAGCTACGGTATCTGGCGGGCAAGGACGACAATGGCCGACCTGAAGCATGGTGCTGGTCAGTTTCAAAGGGTCGAGTCAGTGTGACGGTGTGACAGAGATGGATGTCAGTCACGGTCTTTTCTCATGCTTCCAACAGGATGAACAAAACCAAACCATCAACTTTAGGACCGACAATGAGACCCATTGGCTGTGCTCTAAACGAGTGTCTCCATCAATAAATACCCCTCGCAAATTAAATACCCCGCACATTAAATACCCAGTAAATACCTCCCCACCTCTTACTCCCGCTCTACGAGTCGAACCACGCCGCGTCTGGGCCCTGCAGCGTCAGGCGCTCCTTCGTGCCGAAGCCGTCCGCGCCCGCGGGGTACGCGAGCAGGTCGCGGATGCGGTCCGCGTCCTGCACCTCTGTCAGATGTATTCACGAAGATAGGGGGGCGCTTACCGGGCCGTCCGCGCCGACCTCGATCGAGAAGTACTTGAGCGCGAGCTGGAGCCACTGCTCCGCGGATTTTGTGCTACGAAAGTTGATCAACCAGGAGAAAAACGTGGAAAGAGAAGGACCCACTCGCCGTGGGCGAGCGCGACAAGCGCGGCCTCCTCGGAGAAGCGCGCGCGGTCGCCGGTGTAGTCGAGCTTGAACGACACGGTCCAGAGGTCGCGCACGATGCGGATGGCTTCTGGGCCCGGGAGCGTGCCTTGTAGAGCGTAAATAAAAGGGAGGGGAAAAAAAGCACACGCACCCGCTTCCGAGCGCTCGTCAAAGTCCTTCTCGAGCGCATGCCACTCCGCGGCCCAGGCGTCGCGCTGCGCGGTCGCCTCGGCGTCCTGTGTGCAGAACTTACAGCCGCACGTGAAGCCCCACGTGTTCTTGAGCGTTTCTCTGCGGCCCAATGGTCAGTAACCCACAAAGACTGAAAAGGCCAACGCACATCCTGTCCGCTGTCGGGCCCAGCTTATGTATATACGACCCGCCGAATTCCCCGCCCTTGGGGATGTCCCTTACCGCATAGAGGCGCATCTCACGGAGGTCCTCGCGCCAGACGTAGTTCACGTTGTTCGCGCCGGGGCAGGCGTGGTTGAGGCGCGAGAAGCGGGGGAAGAGGGCGCGGTAGGAGGTGTCGCCGACGCTGACCGCGGCGACGTTCACCTCGATGGTCCCGACGGCGAGCTGGTAGCGCTCGTCGGGCGTCTGCGTCGCGGGGTCGAGGTTGATGCTCTCGTCCTCGACCCAGTGCGCGAGGTTGAAGAAGATGTCCCGCTTCGACGGGGAGAACGTCCAGTTGTAGAATAGCTCGTGCACCCACTCGCGCGGGGCTGGTCAACGGGGCCACGTCAGCAAGGGAAGGCCAAGAAAAGGAGATGGACACGCACTCTCGTCGTCCGGCGCCAGCAGCAGCGGGTGTTCCCGGAGTATCAGCTCCCCGCGCTGCCCGGGCGTCAGACCAATCATCGACCGACAGAAGCTGCACACCTTGATCTCCCGCGCAGCGACGGCGCCCTTCCCCTTTCCCGGCAGATCCTTCACCTCGAACACCAGCCGGTCCGCCATGATGCCCTCGTAGTCGTACGTATTCGGGTCCAGCACGTCCCCCGGTGTGCCCCGCCACCGGCTCTGCACGAAGCCCGCCAACGGCACCCCGACGCGGCCCACGACGAGCGTCCGCACCGCCGAGCTCGACAGCGCCGCGCCGAGCAGCGCCCCCAGCGCCAGCGACCGCACCGACACGCCGCTCTGCTTTTGCGATGATTTCGTCTTGCTGCCCATAGGTGCGGGTGGGTGGTGGAGGGGCGGAGCAAAAGAGGGTAGTTGGGTACCGATCACGATCGACACACAATTTTTTCAGGTGTTGATGGCGTGATCCGGCGACGGTAACAGTGGCAACTGCCTTGGGCTTGGCGGCGGGAACGATGGAAGCCGGGTCACGGACCCTGGCCGTAGCGCTGGCGACGAGGGATTTCGACAACACCGTCCTCATTACATACTTGGACTGGATTTATCTCTACACGATTTTCTGCGTCGGCGGGTGGTGCGGATGCGGGTACGGTCACTCACCGACCCAACATCATGAATCATGATAGCTGCGGCCGGCGCCTTATATACATACCGGTGAGTCAGCGGCTGCGTTCGGACTCGGGTGGTCTCAGGCCGGAATGCGCGGCACTGGCATGATTCATCCATGATTCACGGGCGGAGGTCTGACGGCAAGTCTCAGACAAGAGTCACCAGACTACATAAATTGGGACAGCCTGCTATGACTCGGTGCATGCCGCTCGTATCTTCTGCTCGGGCGCGCCCCTTTCCGCAGTCAGTTCCACGTTGGTTCCACGCGCAAATTCGAGCCGTCGCCGCGGTCAATTTGCTTATCTGATGAAATTCCTGTGACTGACATCCATCTCCACACCGTCACCGTGACTCGACCGTCTTGGAAACTAACCAGCACCATGCTTCAGGTCGGCCATCGTCGTCTTCGCCCGCCAGATATCGTAGCTCATGGTTGTCCCAGGTCGCAGCATTGACACCCGAGAGTGTGCCTCCGCAAACGCTCCATCGATGCCTCCAGATTCCCGAAATCATCCTTCAAGTGTTTGCAGAAGTGGCGCTGCAGGACTCACCAAACGCGACGTTGGCGGCGCTGGCTCGAACGTGTCGCGTATTTGAACAGCCGGCGTTGGAATATCTCTGGGCCGACCCTGGCCTTAACACACTGCAGTATATTCTCAGTTGCTTCCCTGCTGGCCTTTTCGCAGACTCGGCTCACAGTGTAAGGATGCCTCGGCTCTCGAGTTTCTGATTTGTGCGACATCTAATTATGCTGACATACCATCGGCAGCTCCTCTCCCGCGACATTCAGCGCAGTGACTGGGCGCGGCCTCAACGCTATTGCAATCTCGTTCGCACGTTCTCTGTGTCGCATCGCGTAACACACAAACAATTGTCCGCCCTTGCGCCAACATGTCCCGAGATTTTCCTTTTCCCGCGACTCTGAACACTCTTCATTTCTGGATACGACAACCCAACTCTACAGGTTATACATCTTTTCCGACAGCTCTTGTCGCCGACTCTTAGACACATCACACTCGATGAATTCGACATCATGGAGCCCTTCCGAGTTTTCATTTCCCTCCTTCAAATGATCACCTATCATACCGCGCAACAACTTACGACGCTCATCCTTGATACATACCTGGATGCACCCCACTGCGCCGGAGCGATATCTGATCTCCTCCAAAATCTCCGCCATCTCCGAGTGCTGACACTGTCTTCCATGGCGGATAATCTGCTGCCTCATGTGGCCCAGCAGAGAAGCCTAACAAACCTGACCATTCGAAGTTTAGCCCTGCCAACCGTTGAGAGCAAAGCACTACAGGCTCTCGACACTCAGTGCACATTTCCTTGTCTCGAAATCCTCATTATTAGGTATGTCGACGTTCGGGCGTTGACACCACTCATGAATCTTTTCGAAACCTCCCCTATCCACACACTTCATATTGGTTCTCATCCCTATACACGGCCCACCACGGCGGACACAACCGCATTTTATCGAAGTGTGGGTGCTTATATAAACAAGCACACACTTCAAGACTTTAAACTTCAGCTTGGCTACGACGTCGATGTGGACATTTCAACAAATGCTTCGCGATTGTTGCAGGGATTCTCGAGCTTGACATGCCTGCATGTCTGCAGCGGAAAATATCTTGTTCGGGATAGTGATATTGAGGTCCTTGCACGGGCATGGCCCGCGCTGCAAACATTCGTGCTTTGTTCGACACGTCCGGCGTTACGCACCCGGCTTACCCTGTCGTTTCTGGTGGCGCTGTCCACACATTGTCCCTGCCTTGCTGCCATTGAAGTATCTTTCAATGCAACAGTGGTGCCAACAACTATTGCTATCGATCCTTCTGGCACAACCCTGATCCAGACCCCGCTTGCCGTTCTAAGCCTGAGAACCGGCTTCACGCCAATCAAGAATCCTCTCAAAGTTGCACATTTCCTCACTCGCCTCTTCCCTCATCGCTCAATCAGGCTGCAGTCGGACTGGGACAAATATGACAGCAGTGACACTGAGTCGCTAGTGGGGCTATCAGATGCCCCGAATATATATGCCACTCGCTGGAACGAAGTTTCTGCAACTATCCGAAAACTTGCTACAGAAGGGAAATAAGAAGGAAAGGGAATATTTTATCCAGCACAATGGCAATCATGATTCAGGTGTTACCAAATTGTGCCTCTTACCACTGCTACAAATAAGAAGTATTATGCGTAATTGCTATATGTATAGGTTTGATACTATGTTAGATTGTTCCTCAGACAGTGAGAATTGATTTTTGCCAAGAATAAGTATTGGAAGTAAATGAATATAAGCAGTTCACCTACCAATTCCACTTACTCTATCAGTTTGCATGTTATGCACCACCAAATTGTTTTTTTCTCACGTGTCACACAGATTTAAGCAAAATTGAGCCCAAAAAGGGTAATTTCTGATATTTTTGGGTGCCGCTGGCGCTAAGAGTTGCCTAATGAGGAAATATTTCAAATTAAAATTCTTTTATCATTGGAATCGAGTTAAATATTATAGTATCCTTAAAATGAAGGGCCCAGTAGGCTGCACAATTCAGCTGTTTATATCTCACCCAATTGATCTCTGGGTTGTGCTACTGCAGCCAGGAGTACCCAAGGTTCAGTATGGCCCTTGTAGTGTAAGACCAAGTCTGCAATCTTGTCAGGGGAACCCCCCGCTTCGGCCTCCTTCGGACCCTCCGAACGCATCCGAGGCGCATCTGACCGGCCGCCCCCTCGGACGCTCCGACCCACCCTGACCATCGTCCACGGCCTCCTTCGCCCGCACAATCATCGATCTGTCAAGACCCTCCCAACGATCACCTTGGGACCAAGCCTGCGACGCCGCTCAGGCCTTCTGCGCTCTACGTCGGCAGTTACGGACGACCAGTATATAGTTGGCGCCCTAGCAGGCGGACCCTTAGAGTTTCTTCTCTTTGGATCCTCCCCTGCTAGGTCGGTCCCTCCGTGTATTTCCTGTAGCTTCTATTCACGCTTTGGATCCTCCCCTGCTAGGCTTTCGTTGGAGTCTCCAGGGTTGCCCTTACAAATCTGTTTGATGGAGCCAGTGTCATTCAGAGTGCTATATAGGTTGAAAACCAGAATGGTTTGCATAAGTGTGCAGACTGGAATGCCATTTTAGGGCAAGGCCCGTGACACCACACAGGCTTTCCATTTGAGGCAACAATTATTCTTGGCATGTCAGATGTGTAGTATATCACCTAGCAGGCAGACCCTTAGAGTTTCTTCTCTTTGGATCCTTTCCTGGTAGGACCTTGATCTCAGGCCTCCAGGGTTGTCCATTGCTATGATCCATTAACTGATATGTACTCTGTATATACCTTTCACACCTCTGGCACCCCCTATTCTATGTGCCTGATAAGAATCTTGACCTCTTAAAATAATTTAGTATCTAGGTCTTTAGGTACACCAAATAAAGATATTTCATTTTTGTGTAATTAAAAAAATTTACACAGAGCCATGGCAAAGCCAACAGCAGTTGGAGAAAGGGGTCCACGAGGGTTTGAAAGCAGTTTTTTTTTTTGCTTTGTCTCAAACAAAGAAACCTTTGTTTGCCTTTCCACTTCCGTTGGGCCTCCCTTTGGCAAACTGCTCTTGGGTTTGCACCCAGTGTAAATGTCTGTACTTGACATTCCTGAGATATGTGCTATAGCACTTACTTGACATAGAATTTTTACTTTCTGTATGGTATAATTTTCAGAAAACATCTCCCTCAATGCATCAGATCCTGACATCAGAGTGAGTTTGATCAGATTACCATTTATGGGGGCATCCAAATTTTGGTGTATGGAGTATCAGAAATGAGAATATGCCTCTGCCGAGGGGTTGCAAATATGGTCTATTCACACTGAAGTTTCAGCCTAGAAATGGTTGCTTAAGCAGGATTTATATATAGGAAATAATAATCCAAAACAATGGCATTTTTGCTGCCTTGATGGATATGCAATAAAAGTTCCAACAATTGTATCTGATTTACAAGAAATCAAGTTCTATATCATGGTATCAAATATTGCATACATTATGACTACCCCATCCTTGATCATGTTTTTAAACAATAAGTGCAAGTTATTCAAGCCCAGATATTTGTCGAAGAAATAGTGTCAAATTATTATTACCCCAATTTGTCATATAGAACACTGGAGGCATGGACCGTGGCATCAGGCTGCCTGATGCTTAACGGGCATCAGGCGCGTACTGAGCAAACTTCTTGCATGTGACATGAAGTGACCATGAGGCTGTAAATTGATTAGATATGATTCAAGATAACTCTGAATTCACAATTAATTCCCTTCTTACTTGAGATGTATTCAAGTATGCAGTCAGTATTGGATGAGGGCAACTTGGTTGTGTGACCCCTACTTACATCTCACTATAAATGAGTTTATTTCTCTATGTGGGATGTTTTTTTGAATTTATATACCTGCTTAACTCTCATCCCACACCCATCTGACTATTCTGACCACTATTTAGCTATATAGGGTAGTCCAAATCATAGATCACCTCTTGGAGATCCTAAAGCAGCCTGCAGCCTCCCCCTCTGGGCAGGTGTGGATACCCAGATTTGGACTGGCAGGCTACTAATGGTCTGCTTCCACTAATGGTTAGGCTGGTCATAATTAGCATGCAATGTATGGCAAGCAGTCTTAAGCTATAGCTATTGGAGTCAGCCATCTTACCTCTTGTTTTGCCACTATCAAGCTGTGTTTGGGTTTGAAGGTATATAAAGATCTAAATATTACTTTCTATCATATTAACAATAAGGAAATTATTTTTATTTCAATAGTGTCCCACAGGTGCCTGAAGTTCCTACAGCAGCATGAATGGCAGCTACTCAAATAAAAATACGGAATATTGCTAAGCCTCATGGCAGTGACCTGTCGCATTTGCCAAAGCTTGCCTGAGGCTTGCCTGATGCCCGTAAAGCATCAGGCAGCCTGATGCCATAGGCAATGCCTCCGGTGTTAGGGTGGTTTGTCATATATAAGAGCAATTTGTCACTTATTTCTGATATATTAGGTACACTTTGGTGCTGGCCCAGATTTTGCTATATATGGTCTCATATTTTGTGACATATTTGGTGTATTTATTGGTTGTGAATCATTGCCACAACATTTTCAGCTAATATTGGCCCTGAGGTCAGTCTAATCTGATGACTTAATATATGACCTAATTTTTTTTACAAATCAAGTCTACTTTTCTGGAGTTTTATAAATGGAAACAGTTCAAAAATGTTTGAAAACTGTTTATAAACATTTATCAGGGGTTACATCTTACTAAGCCTGTCCATGTCCATGCTGGGGCAATGACCAGCCTTCAAACACATCTTGGTAAGCAAGGCTTGTGTCAATGCTTGAGTATCTGTGCAAGGATGCTAAAATTCATGTGAATAGTGACACATAGGGCTAGCCTATTATACCATCATCATGCCACCAAATGATATAACAATATTATAATATCGTCCTCTGCATCATAATATATCCATAATATAAATTGTATATCATAATAATATTAATATGAAATATTTCAATAATAATAATGATCATATGGCATAATAATAAATTACATTATAGCAATGATCAGCACTAACACGGACACATACAGCTGGTTTTGCCACTTGCTTCTCAACAGAGTTCATGTATCTTGCTTTTTAACAGTCTTTCTGCATTGGTATTGGCAGGCCTGAAGGGGGAATCACTGCCTAATTAGGATCAAATCAAAGCAAATTTCAGAAAAAAAATGGAAACCATTTTAACTGTTTGTTTTTATTTGTTTCTATATGCAGTTAAGAGCAAACGAAGAGGGTAATAAGGGTATTCAAACATTTATTTCCATTTGTAAACGTTAGCAAATGGAAGTGGTTGGAGCCCTAATTGTTGTCCAAATGCACATTTTTTTGTCCACTATTGATCATAAATAAATCCTACTTCAGGGCCTATTTTTTGGCAGAAACGTGTGATTGTCTCTTTTCACGGGGGACTTACATCAGTGACCATTAGTAATAGTCACACGAAGTTTTCCTTCGCAACTTCCACCTATGCCACTGCAGCTGCTGGACCTCCCCGAGGAGATCCTCCTTATGTGCCTCTCTCACATGGCGCTCCCGGACATCGCCGCGTGTTTGCAGCTGTGCAACTCAGCGCTGACCAGGCTAATCCGCGAGGCGCCGGCGATCCAGTTTCGCCTTGAGCTGACAGGGTATGCGGTGGAGGAGACCGCGTATGGCCACGTGGGGCCGCTCTTCAAGCGGCGGAAGGCGCTGAAAGAGCGGGAGGAGCGCTGGAGGACGTTTGCGCCGGGCCACCGTTGGGTGGTGACGACGCGCGACACGCCCGCCCTGTATGATGTCGGCGAGGACTGCTATGCGCTCGCATATAAAGCTGACCCACAGACGATGCTGGGTGTTGGGATGGAGTACATTTTCCTCAATGAAGAGCCGGTGTGGTTGCAGCCGGCGGACATCACGGAGCCAGTGTGGGATATTTGTTTGGTGTCGGAGTGGGATCTGTTAGTGGTGGTTACTCTGTGCGTCGCCGTTGTTCCATTGACTTATTCTTGTCTGACTGGCAAAATACTAGCTCGGTGGAAAACGCCGGAGTACGTACGATGGCTGCACATCTGCGGCAACTGTCGACTGGGGCAGTGCAGGAAGGACTAGCGAGGACAATTGACCTGGCCAAAGTGCCCCAGGTTTATGGTGTGCCACATATCCGAGTGGAGGTTGCGGGGTCCACGCTAGCAATCGCGTGCCGCTTCCCGTTCAATATACTCGGCACGCGTGACCAGGACCTGCTACACCTAATCCATTGGCCGTCCGGCCGTGCATTCGCGGCGGTCCCGTGCTCAGTGACGGGCTTCGTGTTCGTGCACGACACGCTCCTCCTCTTACCGAATCCGCAGACGCACTGTCTCGACGTGCTCGCCCTCAAGCCTGGTCTCGACGGCAACTTGAATTCTTATTGCTGGATACTCTCCTTCTGCCTGCCCGCCCTCCGCGTCGGCCACCGAATCCGCTGGGACACTTTCGACTGCCGCGGCCAGCCTAACCCGTCCACTCATTCCTTCGACCGCTGCACTACCCTCGCCCAGACCTGCTCGCCATTCCGGTCCAAGCCAGAGCGGACGCCCATCTTCCTCATGTTCGATACCGCCACGACTCCCACAGACGCTGACGTTGAGTTGTCGCATACCGTGGTCGTCATCGACCGTGCGCGGCTGCAGGGGCGCTTTCTGGAGAATTATCAGCACCCGGGGAAAGGCGCACCGGTCAGAAAAGTGCCTTTTGCATACTGGGGCCTGCGCGCGTCGACGTGGCTCGACGTCGGGCCGGGCGGACTAAACCTGTCGGCGTACGCGGTCACGGGGTTCCTTGGCACGCGTTTTGCAGGGCTCGGTTCGAATCATGTGCGGATTCTGGACTTTAACCAGACAAGTGTGGCACGCGTGTGCAAGCAGATCAAGGCCACGCGGACTGACGTTCTCGCGGCCACGCACGCTACAATCCGGGTCCAGCCGCCCGCCACCGGCGGCGCGACCCAGGAAGACAGTGTTTTCGCGGAGCGGCTCGGGGCAGCGCTGGGGTATGTTGAAACAACTTCGCGGGAGGCCGTCGCCTGGGAGAGCGTGCATCTGAGCAATGCGTGTATCTTGGGCGAGAAGGTGCGTGTTCAATGTGTTCACTTGCCGATGAGCTGACTAGTGTTGGGTCGGCAGGATTCGGATGTAGAAGGAGAGAGGGAGCTGCATGTGCTGCACTTTGGCTGAGCCGCTGAGGATGCGTGCCAATGAAGTTCGGTTGGCTGTGTGAAGAATTTTCATGGTGTTGGACGTTGAGAATTGATGTCGCTTTTCCGTTGTGATGCCCACCCGGCGTCAGCGCAGTGATAAATGTGGCAATGAGAGGCGGTCAAGAGCGGTAGCATTCCCCAAGGAGTGTCTGGATTCGCGATCGTTTGTCCCCAAGAGCCTGGGTTTGCCATCTGGCGGACACTTACTCACCGTCGTCCATGATAGAGCACTGGCTTGTGCTCTATCTGGCTTGTGCTCTATCGCTTCTTTATATGCATACGGGTGAACCAGGGGCTCTGCCATCACACCCCTGTTATGACTGCCACAAAATCGCCTCCATGGCAGGGCACGAGGCCCGTATCTTCCCCTCCAGCACGTCCCTCTGCTCCGCCGACAGTTCCACGGCGCCAGGCGCAAACTCCAGCCGATGCAGGCCGGGGAACAGCGTGAGCCAGCGCGCAAACGCGTTCGTGTCGTCGAGAAGGTGCGCCGGGCGGAGCGAGGCGCGTTCCACGCGCAGCGTCAGCGCCGCCACGCGCGCCAGCCGGGGGTCTGCGGTCCCCGCTTCCGTGTCCGCCGAGACGGAACGCGTCCACGGCAGACCGGCGCCGGTCCTCCAGGGCCGGACGGTTAGAGTAAGATGGATCGGCTGCCCACCGGGGAGCTCCGCGATGGATACCATCGCCGAAATGAGTTCGGAATACTCCACCTTGGCATTCGGTGCGACGAGAAGCGTCTGCGTGTGACGGTGCCGGTTAATATCGAGCGCGTGCATAACAGCAGATGCCAGAGAGCTGCGCGGCCGATAGGCCCTTGGGCGGGCGGATGGCGAGCTGCGGTTGATTTTTGTTGACGAGAGTGACAAGTGTCAAGCCGGGGAGCGTCTGCACCCGCATCGAGTAGGTGAACCATATCGACCCGTAGTCATACACCAAACGTGACTCGAACGGCCACGCCGGGCCGGCCACCGCGTGCCAAGCCCACAGCAGCACAAGTTGCGACCGCAGCCAGAAGCGGGATACCCCAGAGTATGGCTGGTAAAATCTGGTGGGGGTGGAAGACCACAGGTCACCGCGGCAGCCACCACTCCACGGGTGGTGTTTTCCGGGGCCGGGAGAGCACCTACCGCTCCCCGTCGATGATGAGCACACCTATAGTGCACCCTAATACCCTCTAGTTAGAGGGATAGAGGGGGGTACTCTCTCCCTCTAACTAGAGGGGGTTGAGCCAGTAGCGGGCACCCCCGCTAAATATGGCTACCAAGGGCGGTCTTGGTAGCAGGGAAAGAGGCTGCCCCCAAGGCCTCGGCGTCCATTCCAGATACCTAAATATACTTCTCTACCACATCTAAACTGTAGAACAAACCCCCTAGGAGTGGAATCTTCCATATAGCATTGTGTGACATCAGTCACTTCTGAAGAGTACAGCCTAACCTTCCCCAGGACTGGTGTTAAAGACTAATGTAGCTATGCTGAATGATCAATGCAAGGCCTTCTACAGGCCAATGCCTTCCAATAGCTTATCTGTGACCAGATCCCTGAGTAATATAGCTATGCCACCTGTGACACCTGAAGGAGTGACATATGAGTTTCTGGAATTTCACCTAACATGATAAGCTATTTTTGGATAGAAAACTGTTCCTTGAAGTTCTCTGATACTTCTAACCCATTCTCCTATAGAATCTGGCAAAGTTTGAATGCTTCAAGGCCTATATAGCAAAATTTGCTATGGACAATTTTATATAGAATATAGAGCTGTAGTAAAGATATTAAGGTCATTAGAGTACTACAAGCATGGCTCAGCACCATATATATTCAGCTCATTTGAAAATATGAAGTACTGACTGATATAGTCAGGTATCACACAAGGATACCTAATGCTTGATCATGAGCCTATCTTTAGATCACCACTTCTCAGACTAGATGGAGTCATTTGGGAGCCTTAGAAGAATTAAGAAAAGCTGAGATCAAAGAGATCAATGAAGAATTGAGAGGGATATGGTGAAATCCAGACAATTGAGTTAACAACATTAATGATTGAGTTAATGACAATATTGAGTTAATGAGCTTTATTAATATTTCTTAAACGAATGAAGATATTGATTAGCGGTTTGTACTGGGGACGGTTTTCGTGACATTCCGCAACCTTTCCATTTTTGGGTCCGGAGGTGTTGGGGGGCATGTCGGGTGTGTCTGGCGGGCGTCGGGGCAGGGCGGGATCAGTGGATGGCAATGATGACACCGCCATTGTGTTGTGATCATCAAGTTTGATCAGAAATCAATTTATTTGATGGAAAATGAAGAAGAATTGGGCTCACCATCGAGGGCAACGTCGAGGACAACATCGGCGGACTATTTGACAGCGGCGGCGGGGTGCCTGACACCGGCGGGCAAGAAGCTCCGCGGCTGACGACAACGGGCGCGATCAGCGACGTCAATCAGTGATCGGTGACATAAGCGACGACGCCGAGGCCATGGGGGAGGCGGCAGGCAGCGCGCATAGTGGGCGGGGGCGGGGAGGCAGCCGGGAGGGTGATGGCAACCTCCGGGCCTCTTTCCCTGCTACCAAGACCCCCTTGGTAGCCATATTTAGCGGGGGTGCCCACTACTGGCTCAACCCCCTCTAGTTAGAGGGAGAGAGTACCCCCCTCTATCCCTCTAACTAGAGGGTATTAGGGTGCACTATAGGTGGATGAGCAGCAGGTTGTCGGTAACAGCCGGCATACACGCCGGCATTCGCATTGCTGTGTCGGTTGTGTACCAACACATCCGGGATGGGCGGCCCGCTCGCAAACTTAAACTCCGACTCGGACGGGGCGGGCCGGGGCCAATTCAGATACCGCAACGCGACCAAGCTCCGAAGCGGTCGAATGTGGCCAACGAGGACGATGAGCAGCGCCTCATCCGCCCGCGGGCAGCGTCAGCGTGCCAGACTCTGCGTGCACACGCAAGATGCCGAGGCGGCCGAGGTACACGCCCAGCCCCACGCGCCGCAGCCATGTGCACGTCCGCACGAGTGCCCATACTTAGGTCGCGCCGCTCGACTAGCACGCAGATGTGCGTGAGGAGCTCGGCAGGGAGGGTGTCGAGGGTGGACATTTGGGATGAATGGGGGACCAAGAGGTATGCATGCCTGAAACCACTGACGTCAGGTCGGAAAAGTGGATGAGCTACCCCCCCCCTCACTGTGTGACGTCACACCACGTGACTGCACGTGACATCCTAAAAAGGTAATTCCTTGATTTCCCCTAGAAACTAGCAAGAATCTCATTATTTTATAAAATACTACCAGTTTTCTCTATATATAGCGTCCCTTCTTGCGCCCTCCACCAGCATTCCTCCTACAAACATCATCACAGAACCAATTTTTTGCCGGAGGCTCTATCAAACCAACACAGCAGAGGTGGTACTGTGAGACAATAAGAATGGCAGGAGCAGATTAGATTCTGAGTGCAAATTCAATGTGGAAGAGATCCATACCGTCTTGGCCGTGGGCATCGTGATTTGAGGCCGGACCGGGAATGGGTGGTGAGCGTGGGTGTGACGTGGCAGGCAGGTGTGACGTGGCCGCGTCATGACCACCCAAATAGGAAATTCTCATCAAAATGTTCGTGTATCCCCAGAATAAGCCCCAAAATGTCCTTTTAAGAACAATTATATGCATTCTGAGACTATTAATATCATTCCTAACCACTCTAGATTCTACCAAAAAAAAAGTGAATTAAGGGCTCTGAACCACCCCCCTCCCCTCCCCCCTGACGTCTCGGCTTGCGCCGGCGCATACCCCTTGTGGGGGACAGACGAGAGGTGTTTTGGTTGACATCTCTGATTGACAGTTGGTCGTTATTGATGGTGTGACTGTTACCTGTAACAGTCACACGCCATTTTCTTGACACCTTTCAGCCTTTCACCTATGCCACTTCAACTGCTCGACCTCCCCGGCGAGATCCTTCTCATATGCCTCTCGTACCTGGATCTCGCGGATATCGTCATGTGTTTGCGGCTGCCCAACTTGGCGCTAACCAGGCTAATCCTCGAGGCACCGGCGATCCAGTTTCGCATCGAGCAGAAGGCGTGCGCTGTGGAGGAGACTGTGTATGGCGAGGCGAGGCCTCTCTTCGAGCGGAGGAAGGCGCTGAAGGAGCGCGAGAAGCGCTGGCGGGTGTTTGCACCGTGCCACCGTCAGGTGGTGAAGACGCGGCGGCGCGAGTGGTTACGGTACGATGTGGGCGAGGACTGTTATGCGCTGGCCTATGGATGCGACCAAGACCCGATGCTAGGCGATGACGTGAAGTATATGTTTCTCGACGTTAACGACAAAGAGCCGGTGTGGCTGCAGGCGGCACAAGTCACGGAGCCGGTGATAGATATATGCGTGGTATCAGAGTGGGATCTCTTGGTGGTGGTTACCTTGTACGTCGTGGTCCCTTCATTTATGCTTGTCCAACCACATATCACTAGCTCAGTGGAGACTGCCGGAATGCGCGCAATTGCCGCACATCTGCGACAACTGTCGACTGGGGCAGTGCGAGAGGGAATGGCGAAAACCATTGACTTGGCTCAAGTGCCCCAACGTTATGGCTTCCCGGACCTCCAGGTGGAGGTGGCGGGGTCTACGCTGGCCATCGCCTGTTGCTTCGGGGGAGGCGAGAACGATCAGGATATGCTGCACCTGATTCACTGGCCGTCCGGCCGCGCATTGGCGGACACGATCCCGTGCTCGCTGACGGGATTTTTGTTCGTCCACGACGCGCTCCTCCTCATTCCGAACTCGCACACGCACTGTCTCGACGTGCTCGCCCTCAACGCCGGTCCAGATGGCAATGCTTGCGGCTGGATGCTCCCCTTCCGCCTCCCAGCACTGCGCGCCGGCCACCGTATCTTCTGGCACACTTTCGAGTGCCGTGGCCAGCCTAACCCACGCACCCACCTCGTTGACCTCCGCCCCACACCCGCCCAGACCCGCACCCCGTTCCGGCCCGAGCCGGAGCAGTCACGCATCTTCCTCATGTTCGACACCCTCACGGCTCCGACGGATAGCGCCGATGCATATGACACCGAGCTGAGGCAGACCGTCGTCGTCATCGACCGCGCGCGGCTTCAGGAGTGCTTCCAGGAGGCATATCGGCATCTGGAGCAAGGCGCGCCGCTTGTGGAGGTGCCTTTCGCGGACTGGGGTCTGCGCGCATCCACGTGGCTGGACGCGGGGCCCCGCGGGCTGGGGCTCTCGGGCTATGCGGTCACGGGGTGCGTCGGCACGCGGTTTGCGGCGCTCGGCGCGGGGGCGGATCCGGCGGGCCCGAAGCACGTGCGGATCCTGGATTTCAACGAGACGGGCGTGGCACGCCTCAGCAAGCAGCTCGAGGCCGCGCGGTCGGACGTTCTCGAGGCCACCCACGCGACGATTCGTGTGCAGCCGCCCGGCGCTGGCGTGGCCCAGGAACACAGTGTTTTCGCGGAGCCTCTTGGGGCAGCGCTCGGCTATGTGGATATCACATCGCGGGAGGCGGTCGACTGGAAGGGCGTGCATCTGAGCAATGCGTGTATCTTGGGGGAGAAGGTGCGTGTTCAACGTGTTCATTTGCCGATAGTAAGCTGACCGTCGGCAGGATTCGGATGTAGATGAAGAGAATGAGCTGCATGTGCTGCACTTTGGTTGAGGATGGTGCGAAATTCGAATTTGCTTGGCTGTGCGCGTGAAGGAAGATATAAAACAGGGATTACAATTGTATGATGTATTGAGTTTGCCTTGCAAGTGGCACGAGCTATGGACTATAGCCTTTATAATCATATAAGAAACGCTTTTTGGGTCTTAAACTTGGTCTTTGAGCATCTAATACTGTCTTTGGGAAAGATTAGTACTAGTACTTAGGTCTTGCAGAAGACACTTGATTTCCTCCAGACCAGGACTTAAATACAACCCACAGGGTCTTCCTGGTATTTTAGATCTGTTTGGTTTTGCTCAAAGACAAGAAAGATCTACAAGACTTTTTGAGTACTTCAACTGATGAGCTGGGTTACACTGCAGCTCTGAAATTTTTCATTCCATTATCTACCATAACATTTAGTGCTGGCCATTATTATATTATGATTTATTATTATACCATATTATTATTATTATTATTATTATTATTATTATTATTATATTATGCCTGGTGGCAGGAATGAATACTATTATTATTCCATATTATATTATATTACGATATTATTATATTATCGTTATGGCTCCAGCATAATATATTATAATATATTATTTCAGTTACCCAGATATCAGCCCCAAACTCATAAGCTTTGTACAAAACCTGCCTGTCTAATGACTAGTACTCCCTTCTATTCATGTTCTAGTCATATTTATCTACTTCAAATGGTCTTATTGCTCATATTCCTAAGGCTAGTTCATCCCTGTTGGTGATAATGGTTGAGAAAGACTTATATATATATGTATATATCTGATCTGACCATCAACTACCAGGGTGGGAGAGTGTTTAGTCTGAATAAAGAACACAAAAAACTTTTCCCTGTAGCGCTAAGGTAGGCCTGGTAGCTGGGGGAGCTGGGTAGACAAGTACCCTGCTACTGAGTGCTACCACGATCACCTGTCATATAGCTGTCAACTAAATCTATTATAGCTGATCATAGTTATATATTATACTGCTTATGTTCATAAAAAGGGAGTATATATAAAAAGAGTAGGAGTAGGATTGGCCTGATAGGACTCAATCTGTCAGACTGCGGGTCGGGCGGTGCAAGGACTTCTCCTAAAAATGCGCACCTGGAACAGAACAGACATATTGTCAGGCCTGCAAGCAGAGTGAGCGGGGTAGATCAAAACCAAAAGGGCCCGGTAACTTGGTCCCTTGTCGCTGTCAGTGGTCAAAGGTTCAAATCGGGTCATGTCGGGCCTGATGAGTCGCTGGTACCTCCTTGCACAGAGAAAGGTAGTTCTTTAGACGATCTAAGCGATAGAGTACATGGTACACTATCACACATTATATATGTGGGCCCGCAAAAAGGGGTGATCGGACACCCTGGCCTCTCCTGCTCCTCCTCGCCCCCGTTCCTGGCCGCAGAGGAGACGATCGTACATCCCTTGCGGGACAGGCACTACTCCTAACCTCCTAGCACTCCTCCCCAGTCCCCTGGTGTCGAGTTGGGCTCGGCAACGGCTTGACGCGTCGCTCTCGGTCATATGCTTCCCATGTTCCTCCTACTGGGGTGCATGTTCCCCGTCGTCACGTGCTCCGTGTTATAGGCCTGCGATGGCCCGACACCAGCGCCCGGAGCGGATGGGCCGGGTCTTATCCGTGACACAATCCTATTGGATCAACTAATTTATTAGCTTAACTTAAGTTAGGTGGTCCAGACCATGATATCACTCAAGTTGTGACCAAGACTTAAGTTTTGCCCAATATTATACTGCCATATAGTATATTGTCTTAAACTTAAGTTACACAAAACTATAAACTTAAGATTAACTTGTATCTAGGCAAGCATGTCACAGTCCAATCATCACAACCCAAGTTTCAATATATATCCAGTATAACTTAAGTTAAGCTTGTTTTTCATTTTACTTATCTAAAATCATGCTATATCTTCACTTTGGCCTTATATAGTAAACTATCATCCATGATATATATTAAGCTTACTAAGGCTCTTGTCTCAATATATTTTCTCAGCTATGATGATGGAACATTTGATCTCATCATCAATTTCTGATGATATCCTACATCCAACTTTGTTAGTGACATATTATTTTAATTTATGATTTATTATTGATTTTTAATATTTCATTATTTTATTATAAAATCGAAACCATAAGTAAGTCATTGAAAAACAATCAAAACCATAAATATTAGAATTCTTTATACGCCCGGTGAATTTTCTATACTGGTATGAGTAATTTGTTCGGTTATTCCAAAACAAATAAACAAACCATTTTGTCCATCCAGCCAAACACAGCATCCCGCCATGCGTCGATTTTGATAACCAAGTCATCAAATGAAGTTGCACTAACCCAGTCGTGATGTGCACCTGATTCAGCATCTTTGAACACAACTTCCGCATTATGCTGTAAGCGGCGATGCATTGCTGCTTGCATGCGTGCAAAGGTCACTGCCCCATCAACATGACCATTTTGCTGCTGATGGCGATCAGCAAGCCCTGTCCACACAACTGCATCCCGATGGAATCGCTCAATCACGCGGAACAGCTCTGCATGCTTTCGTTCGTACTGCTCCAACCACCGGTACATCTCAGCTTCAGCACGGAAATACTGGACGCGGTCACCTATGTTAATATGAGCCTGTCTATTTGAAATCATATTATAGACAAGAACCTACTTTCTAGCTTATATGCCTGGAGTTTCTCGTCGGTAAGCCCGCGTTTGTTGACCCAGTTCTCAAGCCAAATCCACCCGTCTCCCTTTTTGTCCTTCTTCTTCTTGCGGAGTTGGGTATGCTTAACCGGACTCTGGGTAAGTGGGTCATCACTATCCTCTGCCGATGAGAGTACTGTGATGTTTGTTGGAGCTGGTGGCAAGATGTCCTTCAGACGTTTTGCTGGACGCGGAGATTTGGTGAAACCTGCTTGAAGATTAGATGACTCTAAATGTCAGTGAGCCGTTACCTTTCCGCTTCAGAGTTTGAGTACCCGTAAGGAGTTGAGCCTGAGGCTCATCACTCTCGCTCTCAGAGTCAAGGCGGCGAGTCAGAAGGAGGTTCTGAGTTGGATCCATATCGGGGATTCTTGTGCCGCTCTGCAGGTACCAAGCCGTCCCATCAAACACACGAGAATCGCCAGTGGCACGGTGAAGATGCGTGTCCTTGCGACGCGCGTATCGCGATTGCTAAGTGGTGGGAAGGTATCAATATCATCGCTGCAAATATGGCCCAGATGCACCAATGCATCCCGATTTTCGTTATACTGTGCGATCTCGAATGCCTTCATCAACTCCGCATTTTGAAGATTTCGTTTAGACCGTGTGATACCTGCCTGCCCACGAAAATCGAGGTCTCTGGATTTCTTGACAGCAGAAAGCCCCAAGGATGCCGTCCGAACAGCTTGAATTGCGTTCTCGAGCTGACTGCATCGCAGCTCGATTTCCGCATCACGCAACTCAGCATCACAAGCGCTGATACTCGATGGAGAGCGCTGCCCGTGTTTCATGCGATACGAGGGCAGTTGAATGGCTGCTAGTTCTGGCTCATTTGAATCTAGCGCACTGAGGGTCAACCGTGGATAGATTGAGCGTTGTTGTTCTCGGAACGGCTTGAGTTCGCGATTAAGACTTGCACGAAGCTTGGTAATAGACTCGAATGTTTCTTGCATGGGATGGTCGTTGTGAGTCTTGAGAAGTGTGACGATAAAAGCTCTACATAGATATCAGCTCAGCTGGGCAACAGCCTGTACTAATGGACAAATACATACTGTTGGCGCTGTATATTCATACCATTCCAAATCCAGTGAGCAACGGGCGCCGTATGAGAAACTTCATCCTGATGTGTTTGACGTTCACGCTCCTTGGTCACCATTGCAGCAAGGACATCTTCGATCGTAACAACTATTGACCGGACAGTCAGTTTGGAGATCCTGTTGCTGACAGTAGAACATGCCTGCTTTTGATGTGTGCTGGTATACACTGTGCCAATCCCCGTCCAGGCCCTGATACGCCTTTGGGACATCTTCGACCACTCTACGACTTCGGCAGCATGCTGGTGGCTGAGGTCAATCACAACAGACATGTGTAGCTCAAACAGCTGGAGTGCTTCTTGTCGCTCAGCTGCTAACAGTCGTCCTAATTATATGTTAGTACACTGTTCAACGTTGGACCTCTTTGTTACTACCTTGCCGAAATACTTTCGATGTATTCCAAGCATCAACCACATAGTTCATCGCATCATGCCGCGCGCCCCCCCGTCATTTGGCGGGTTGATGACCCAAGAGGGTTAAGGTTCGCCCAAATTACCTCTGCTGTCTCGCCGTGGAAATGCGCCCGGCAGGCAAAGTAGACGGCCTGCCAGATTTTACGACACACTTCACCATGATCGTTGATGTGGTCAGCAGGAATTTGACCCTCAATCTTGTCTAGAAGATCGTGAAGCCATATTGCTTCAGGGAAGAGTGTGACAGCTCGGGTGCGCAAATTCTTGACGAAAATGCACCAACTATCATAACTGCCAACTAAGGGTGTTTGCGACTCGGACAGATGTGGTGGCGAATTGATGTGTCGTAGGAATTCACGTTGGGCATAGGTCCCCAGTGCAAACGCCTCCCCGACCAGCATGTCAACCAAGGATCCAAGGACGGCATGATCACATGCACAACCGACAACACCGCTAATGGCGGTATTTCCGTACTTGGCCTTACCCTGGTGACGAATTGAACCAATATGTGCTTGACATGGCGCCTCCTAACCGAAAGATAAGCTGAGAGCTAAGCAAAAAGGTGCGACAAACCGTATCTTCATTCGGCACGACATATGTCGCAGCAATATGGTTATACTCCGCCTGGACAGGGAAATACATCTTCCCATCCGTTAGAGCATGATCGCTTCCATTGTCGCTTGTGAAACAGGTTCGCCTTGAAGTTGCCATCGAGTGTGATATGTTGCGAAACAAGATGACGGAGATATCGTGGGTAGGTGACTTTCAACGGCATGTTG